GTGGGATCCAAACCCTCGGCGGGAGCGCCACCATGCTCCCAAGCGGCGCACTATAGCAGTGTGCCACCAGGCCGGCCCTATTATCCAGATATTTTAAAGTGTACATTATCTTAATGTCTTCCATATAAATTATAACATAGTATAATTTATTCAAATAGATTAAATAAAATATTTCCTTTTAATATATTTATCAATTAGTAACATATTTAGCACATACTAATTAATATAGGATGCTTTGTGATAAGAAGCTATTTTCTTACAAACAAGTGATGATATTAAGGTTCTTCTCTGTAGAAAAAAGGTCACAAAATACGTCTTTTAGGCCTGACACGCTCTCATTTCCTTATACCGCTCTCCTTCCCGCATCCTCCTCCATTGCAAAGCTAAACAAATTTATTTCAATTAAGGCGAGGTTAAACTTTACGTAAACATTCAGTTCAAGGATCAAAGAAGAATAAACATGAACATCTTATGATAAATCAGAAAAGCCAGAGCTCTCCTACCTGGGTCCCTAAGCTGGCTGCCATCATGTGAGTCAGAAGTTTAGCTGCAAACATGGAGTACCTGGCACAGAAGATGTGGGAAAGAACAGCCAGGCAAAGACCTGTAGAAACAAAAAGTCCAGGTGTGGTTTTATAATCTATGAAGAGACAAACAGTATCATCATAGCAAAAATTACTGGGACAGTTAAGGCAGGCCTGTCACCTGCCTATACTGCATAGCTTAATACCTCTGGGAAAGATTCCATTGCAATTTCAATCTGTTCTATTCTGCATGACATATAAAACCCTCACACTTATCAATTAAGCCCAAAGGATAACCTTAACTTTCAAATGTCAACATGCTCACTCCCCGGCTAAAGAGAAATCACACATGAAGTAGATTAATAGTTTTATCACAAATTTGTGTTTTCTTTTTTAAAATTTTATTTATTTTTATTAAGATATTCATTGTTACAAATCATACTTATTTTTTATGTCCCTTATTAATCCCCAATTCCTCTTCCCTTTCTCTCTCCCCTTCTACCCTTTAATAACCATAGATTTTTTTTCTCTCCATCTGATAGATTAACTGTTCTCTGTTGTCTGTTGCCTAGATGATCTGTCTAGTACTGAGGTATTGAGACAGGTGTGATCAAGTCCTCCCCTATTACCATAAATCAGATGCTTCTTCTATTACTCTGGAGTGTGCTTTGTGGAAAGAGAGGACCTCTTTTTTTTTTTTGGTCTCTGCTAGTGCCTCTCCTTGTGTCAATGCAGTTGCGAGTCTGGCATGCCACCTGCACGGTAGCTGTGACTGCTGCTATAGAGACTAGCTGCTCTTGCAGCAGCCATGGCAATTGCAGTGGCTCATGTGGGCTACCTGCATGAAAATGGTGTTTTTGGTGTGCTCTTTACCTGGTTGTGTCTAGGTTTGGCTTCCCCCAGCTCCATACCTCAGGACCCTGGTGGGGTCCATGGGAGAATTTAGTTTCCAATGTTTACATTAGAAAGAATGTTTTCTATGTTTATTATTTAAGAAAGAATCAAATTCCAGTCTAATATCCTGAGAATAGGTGACTAGGCTAAATAGAGATATTCAGAGAGGATAATAGGATTTGTAGGCATAAAACTGTGGATGGAACTACCAAAACTCAGGTTTGGTAATTATTTCCTTTATCTATTAGGAGTAGTTATATATTCACAACAGTGGTAATTATGAATTTAAAAGGCTTTCACTACTGGGTGTGCTAAAGCCAGGAAGAAAATGTGTTCTTTCCCCCCACAATGACTTTTAACCTAAACATCTAAATTTCTAAAAGGTGTGAAGAAAATTATTCTTATTATCTTTAATTCTACTTGAATTCATCTATTTGCATTACTTCGAAGGGACGGTTAGAATCTCAGCACCAGTCCACAGATCTTTTATTTTTTAGTACTAGATTTTAAGGGTAGAGTATATACATATTTTTAAAATTTTTAAATTGAAATGTGCTGCATATGGTAACCCATTTGCTTTTTCACTTAAGCTTTATATTCCCCTCAACAGGGTAATTTTGTCTAATAATAAGTGAAACATAACATCAATTGACATGTGTATTCTGCCTTGCCATGTGCTTTGCATGCATTACCTCACTTAATTTTATCAGTGCCTCCTTGACAAACAGGAGTCACTGCACTCATTTAACATTTTGTTTTCTTCCATTATCTGTTCTGAAGACATGGAATAAACTTTTAGAGTATACCACATGTCGGCATAAGTGTACTGGGCATCTGCAAAAAGACCCACATGCCTCTCATAACTTTCTCTTGGGAAAAGAATTCAATTCTATTTTTACATTTTAATAAGGTAGATAAAGCTTCACCACAGGAAAAGAGGCTTTGCATTAGTTTAGGCTTTCGGCCTAGACATTTGGCCAAGAAACCTGGAGCAATCCATTTTTAGGAAAGCTGCCATGGGGTGTTCTGAGACAGGTGTGCAGGTTGGTGGCTGCCTCCAAAATCCACCCACACAGGTACACAGTGTATCTTCAGAAACTGCAGAGTAATGCCTGATATGGCACATATTGGAGCTAATGCTCAGAACTCACTAAAGTACACTTTGTATTCCCCAGGATGATCAAAGCCAGCTGAAATTCAAGGTTTAAGTTGAGTGTGTAAATGTGTGTGTGTGTGTGTGTTTGTAATACAAGGACTTAAAAAACAGCGGTTTGCAATTTTTTTCATTGTTAGCCACATGATCACAAATGTGCTTTTCTGTAGTTGATTGTGGTACATGATAACAATGAGAGGCCAGGGGATTAGTGCTGGGCAAGGGAGAAATGCACGAGTCAACTGTTTTTTTCTAGTTCAGAAGAAGAGCTTACTCATAGCCTTTCCCTTTAACTTGGTAATTCCCCATTATACTCCTGTTTCATGATATAAATTTAGCACAATTACACATGACCAGCTCAGAAATATTTAATTAATTATATTAAGCTTCAATTAAAATGCTAGCATAACACCTGATGGTCATTCAGGATCCAAAGCCAGTGGCAGGAAAATGGACTAGATTCTACTAGCTTATAACTAGAATGTATCATGGTTGTCTAGATGCATTTTTTATTTAGGGGAGGAGAATGTTGCTAACAACCTCAAGCAGGCTGTGCCCTAGCCTAGGGAAACTCACCTGGCTTTGGGCAGGATATTGAATACCTAAGATTTAAAGATATACTTACTTCGGTTACCAGGTTTCTAAAACACCATATACTAAATATTTATCTTTTATTTTCTTATCTGAAATTGAATAGCTATATTTAGCATATATGCTTTAAATTTACGTCAGTCTTTTAAAAAAATTGTAGAAATTTTTGGATTTAAGATCCTAAATATAAATATGCAAATCACAAAGCATAAAATGTTTTAACTATAAATAGAATGAGTTTCTTTAAAAATTAAAATATAACAATTCCAGGTATTACCTAAACATGTACTGTAAGCAGTTTTTAAAAACTGATTTCTTGGCAATTATGCAGATAAAACAAGCAGATAATGAATAATTTTCCTTTTCTTTTCCCTAGTACTATGGAGATTACAGATTCAGTTGGAAAAGAACACTTAATTAATTCGCTGACACAAATGACTTTTCTAAATGATTCAAAAGTGAGAAAAAAGGTAAATTACCCTTAATAAAATGATAACATTGATAATGTTTGCTTTAGATAATAAAACCTCTAAAGAACAACTGGATTATTTTGCAATTATTAGGTTCAACTAAAGACTTTCTTATCTGTCTATACAATATTAGAATGTATGCATATAAACATATATGATGTTGTATATGAATTTGTATATCTAGTAAACATCTCTATAGTTTGGCATCATTTAAGAATGGGGTATACTTTTTAAATAACTAAAGTTTACTCCTTCTCAAGACAAATATTAGTACATTTTTCCATGTAATTTTCCTTAAAATATTTATAAATTATGTATCTATCATGTGCCTATCTCTGCCTCCTCTACAGATAAATCCAAACAAAATAAAATATCATTATTTAATTAATAAGTCAGCTATTAGATTTTTTCTTTTTTTATTGAAACATAACTGATTGGACATATCTATCTGGGGGTACAGCATTGAATATCAATACCTGTGTGTAATATGTGATGCTCAAATCAGGATAATAAGTATATTCAACCTTATGCATTGTAATCATTTTTTGTGGTCCTTTACCAATTTCTCACTAAGCCCCCTCTCCCTCTCCTTTTTCCACCTCTGGTGGCCTCAGTTCTGTTCTCTCCTTTCGAAAGTTCAATGAATTATTGTGATCGCATCTTTCTTCCTTCCTTTGCTTATTTATTTATTTATTTTTTACCTCCCACTTATGAGTGAGGATCAGCTGTTAGATTTTTAGCTTAGTTTTCTTTTTCTTTGGTGGCCATTTCCTCACCTAATGCTAGCTGTAACTGTCACTTTTTCTGCTCTTCGTTGCTCATCTCTATTGAGTCCCATGTTCCTGCAACTTTCCTCTCAGCGAAATGCCTTTTGGTTACTGCTACTAAAAAGCTAACGGCAGGAAAAGAAAAATAGCCAACCCCGAAAAGATTTCTGGTACAAACAAAGTCAGTATGAAGTGCCCTTTGGTGGCCATTTCCTCACCTAATGCTAGCTGTAACTGTCACTTTTTCTGCTCTTTGTTGCTCATCTCTATTGAGTCCCATGTTCCTGCAACTTTCCTCTCAGCGAAATGCCTTTTGGTTACTGCTACTAAAAAGCTAAGGGCAAGAAAAGAAAAATAGCCAACCCCGAAAAGATTTCTGGTACAAACAAAGTCAGTATGAAGTGCCTTCGAGTACACAAGGTCTGTGTATTAGGAGAGAGGAATTATTCCAGAGGGATGGTGTTGCCAGGAGACCAGCCTCCAGATAACCAGGGTGTTAAACCTGCACTGTTCAATACAATAGTCATCAGTTACATGTGGCTATTTAAATTTAAATCCTCATTAATTAAAATGAAGTAGAATTACAAGTTCAGTTTTTCAGCTGAATCAGCCATATTTCAAGGGCTTAAGTACCACCTGTGGCTAGTGGCGACCATATTGGACAGTGCAAAGCATTCCATCATCACAGAGAGCTCTATTGGAGAGTGCCGTGTTAAACTATCCTGAGTGAAAGCAAGAAAGAGTATGTCATAATTCAGAAGAATTTTCACTAGAAATGGCTAAAATGATATGGTTTGGCACTTGAAAGTATGAACTTGACACATAGCCAAAAATACATCTCATTATTGGAAGATATCAGATCAACACTGCATATTCATTTATTTATACATTTAACAAATAGCTATTAAAACTACTGTATGTTAAGGACTGTGCTGGGGCAGTGTTCAAAAAGACACTTGCTGCTCTCCCTGTAATTGTCTCTCTCTATTTCTATCTGTATCTTCTCCCAAACAGAGACTGGTTTACAAAAGATCACAGAATACAATTCTGGTCAAAAAAGATGTGAGGAGAAACATTTTAAGTGGCTTCCAGGAAAGTTCTCATTGCCCTTAAAACAGGACCCAAATAAATCCTTTTTCCTTGGCAAGCCTTGACATTGCTGATGTGGTACGTAGTGCTGCTGCAACCAAAGCAAGACCATGGAGAGAAGAGGCTGAGTGGAAATAAAATCTTTGAGGACAGCATCACAGAAAATGAAAAGAAGCAGGACTCCTGATGAAACCATTAAGGTGCTGAATTAATCAATCTGGGAATTAAATCTGCTTCTATAAGATATCTTTGAGTTGTCTTCTGTTACTTGCAGCCAAATTCATCCTAAGCAATACACCTACATGTACATAACCTAGAGAAATCACTTATGTGATGTCAGAATTAAAACTAAGCACTCTGACTTTTTTTTATATCATCCGCAGTTATCTCTTCAAATTGCTTTAAAAAAAAAAATCCCAAGCATTTTCCCCCCTATTCTTCTTGTGAATAACTCCCAATTTGATACGATGTCAGAATTAAAACTAAGCACTCTGACTTTTTTTTATATCATCCGCAGTTATCTCTTCAAATTGCTTTAAAAAAAAAAAAATCCCAAGCATTTTCCCCCCTATTCTTCTTGTGAATAACTCCCAATTTGATAGTCAGAAAGAAGCTGCTTTATATATTTCCCCCACAATCATAATGGCAATCTTAGGACAATGATTACGGTGAATATGAACTTGATGTTTTTGGAAGAACCTGACACAAAATTTTAGAAAATATCTCTTAATTTTGAAAAATAATTTTGAAACGAATGGGTGGCATCTGGCAAAGTTATTTTCCTTTCTGCTAAAACTACCAGAATCTCATCTTGTATAATATAAAGGCACAATCTGAATATGCTTGCAGTTTAATAAATACTGAACAAAAGTATAATCATGCTTCAAAGGACGTTGGGTTGTGTTAATTTACTTAACCCGTAAGCCTTATTATTTAGCAATTTATAAAAAATTATTTACAGTTAGTTATGGTAAAATTGATATTGTGTTGGCATTTATACACTTACTAATCCATAAAAAGTAAATGAAACTGTTAGCTATTTAAAAGGGAAAGATTTAGTCTGACTAATGCGTAAAAGGATTTCTCCACCATAAGAGAACAAAAAAGAAGCGAAAGAAACGTGAAGTGTGTGGACCTGCTCTAATCTCAGTTTACAACCATCCAACATTGGAGACTCACCTACCAGTGCATCCAACTGGACCTAGTTCATTTACTGACTCAAAAACAATATGGAATATGGAATGTTACAGGGTCTCACTGAGATTACAGTATAGACTATAGGATTTCTCCAATCCACTAGTCTCTCTTTGATAATACAATATCAAGAGTTATGGAAAAGCACAGACTTCTTTGACATTATCCTCCAATTAGTAATGTGTACCTCAAACCATGCTGAAGTTCCTTAATAAAGTATAAAATCATGGCATTATAACCTAAAGTTATATTTCTCCAAAGTCATTTTTGTGCTGAGTTCCACAATGCCACATTCTAATGCACACAGAAGTCTTTTACTTGCTCTCTCTTTCTATCTTTTTAACATCAAGTAATGGAATGATCTTAGTTTAATTTTCTGGCACATGGTCCACTGGTTTACAATTTTAAGTCACAGGTATATACCCTCTTCTTTCATCTTTCTAAGCTGAGGCTTACTAAACTTTTTGGCCTCTATGCCCTTTTCACACACTTGGACCATTATGGTTGTTTTTCTCCAGTACAGTAAACACAACTGCAAACTAGAATTGATACAGTACATTGTGATCTACTCTGATTTTTTAAAAAGGTTAAATTCCTGTCTAGTTGTATGTTACCACACATCATAAAACGAGTTAGTCAAATGCTATCAAATTCAGATGGATATTCAGTGTGGCCTGACCTAAATTATAGAATATTTATGTAAGATACATAAAATTCTTTTTTCTGGTTCTTTGGAGTGCATCAGAGGGATGCGCATTCATCCTCCCCTGAAGCTGAAACTGAGGCACAAAGACAGAACTTTATGTCTCCTTATTGACAGAATCCACAATTACATACAAGGGTACTTCAAGAAGTTCATGGAAAGATTTGTATTATCTTTTAATTCTGTTTTTCCATGAACTTTTTGAAGTACCTTCATAACAATATGTCATGAACAGAGGGGAAAAACCCAGTAATTTCAAATATGACCTGAAGTCAAAAGTAATAAAAGCAGATACTGACACTTAGGTGTTGGTTCTTGAATACATGAGCAAATCTATGCAGCCTTTTCTGGAGTAAGTTGCAGAGAAGAAATGTTTATTAATGATTCTCTCAGGAAATACCTTATAATTCTTCTAGTTTTCTATAAAATTAGAATAACATTCTTTCTTTAGTTTTTAAAATTCTTGGATGTTCAGTGTTTGAAACAGGCAAAGAATTTTTGTGGGTCATAGAAGCACTTGAATTTATGTCTCTAAGGAAACACGTAAAATGATGTCTAGATTTTATTTCAACATTGTACCTTTTGGCTTTATTTCAAAATTCTATAAAATTTCATTGCTCTTCAAATATATTAGCATTAAAATAAAATAGAATATCTACATCTGATTTTGAAACCATTTGGACCTAGAAAAATCAAATATCATCCTTTATGAAAGATATTATTAAAAATAAGAAATTATTAATTTTTGCTATTGAATCTAAGTTAGGTTCAGAATGAACATAAATTAAGAAGAATTTATAACTACATAAAATGAAATTATATTTAAAAGATTTCAGCAACCAGAACAAGGAACAGTAATTAATTACTTGATAATATCTGCAGAAAAACTTCCTAACAGATAAAGACTATTAGGAAAACTGCACACCAAATAAAAAAGACATGCATTCAATGATAATCACATTTATGAACAAAACATCATTAAAGCAGAATATCAGAAATGTCTGAATTTGTATATATACTACCCTGTTACATAGACACAATTTATATTCATATATTATGGCTAGGAAAACTGAGGTATAGAGAAAGTATGTACTTTGCTCCAGGTCCCACAACTACCTGATGGCAGAACCAGGATTTGAACCCAGGCAGTCTGGGGGTCCAGAGTTTTTTTTTTTGTTTTTTTTTTTGTCTTTTTTTCCGTGTCCGGCAACGGATCGCAACCCTCAGTGTTGCCCCCCCCTGTTACATAGACACAATTTATATTCATATATTATGGCTAGGAAAACTGAGGTATAGAGAAAGTATGTACTTTGCTCCAGGTCCCACAACTACCTGATGGCAGAACCAGGATTTGAACCCAGGCAGTCTGGGGGTCCAGAGTTTGTTTTTAACTACTGCCCTACACCCAGTTCTCTATACAGCATACTGTTCACAGAAACAGCTGTGGAACTGTAAACAGCAACTTAGGGCACAGAATGGGTGGAAGTGGGGGACAGAATATAATCTAAGGAATTCTCAGACTGCCAGTCATATCATTAATATAGCAGATGAGAAGGATTCTATAGTTAAGCTGTAGGTGAATAGTTCAGCAGACATTAACACAATTCAAGTTCCTATTACTTCCAGAAATGGAGCCTAGATGTGGAATGTGAAAGATAATTTTATTTTTTAATACAGTAGCCAGCATACTTAGAGCTCCTAAGTTGTAGAATACAAATCAACCCATGGGGTAGGTTTTTTTTTTTAAATTAATGATAATACAAAATTCTTTGAATGTACTATCTCACGCAATGCTGACATTCTAACT